CGTGGGGAGCTGCGGCCGCCCTTGTGAAGCCGTTGAAACTCACGGACCGCGCAGCCGAAGGCTTTCTCAGCAAGCCGCGGTGCTGTTGTAGCCTTGTTAGGCCTCTTTCTTCTCTCGTCCGTCTGATGGCTGCCGTTTTTCCTGCGCACGGATGACCGGTCCCTTCCACTTCCAATTTTGTTTTTTTGTTGGTGATGATCAGGGCAAGCAAGGATTAGAAGCCGCTTGAAACAGGAACGAAATCTGCGCTTTGTCCTCACTCCATCACTATGCTTTTTTTTTGATTTTGTAGAGATTTTTTTTTGTTCACTCTTAAAGAGATGCCTTAGAAGAACAGCCGAGTGTCCTTTTGGTGGCTTTCTCTGATGAACCAGTGGCAGCAGCTTTGCAGTTACTACGTTTTTTACACGAATACTGTTAGCCTTTTGTGGTGCTAGCTAGAAAAAAAAAAAGGCATTCCCTAGGCTGAGAGTGTTGTACCTGGACGTGCAGTGACTGCTGCTGGTTCCTCAGGTGAGGTAAACAAAATCTGTTCTTGTGCTGATTGCTTGGACAAAGATGGCTATATAGCTAAGCTCTTTACAGCCAAATAAACTAATATTTGAACGGAAAACCATCGAAGTCTGAGAAAGTTGAGCAACAAGCATGCTTTTTCTACTTTTTAAAAAAAAATTGCTTCAATCTCCCATTTTACAGTAAGATTTATATTTTTTAAAATTATTTTCTTGTCTGTATTCCAGCTGTAGTTTATTGTTAGGGAGTATGTTCTGTTCATCCGCAGAACATGTGTATTAGGTTCCTTGATGGAGCTGTTGTTCGTGTTACAAAGCTGATATAGCTGTGTGGTTTCAGTATTTCTGCACGCCGCCTTCTGCCAAATGTAGCAGATATTTTGAGAGTATGTGAAATCTGAAAAGTCCTACGTAGCAATTTCTGTGACTGCTGCTTCTCAGTTGACTTGTTCTTTTATTTGTGATGGAAAATTTACCTGTTGAAAAGAGCTGCTGACTGTGTTGGGTCTTCATTTGAAAAACTTATATTCCTCTCCTTCCCTAATACTGGAATTTTGCAGTCACTCTTGTTTACTGATATTTTTTTATAACTGATCATAATGGCAGGTACTTGATTTTTTTATAGTTTTGGTTTTTTGTTTTACTAACAAAGAACATTCAGAAGCAGTTTTTTTTTTCTTCAGTAATACTTTTGTTGTTGATGCTACTAAAATACTTGAAATAAAATACATTTCAGACTGTAACATTTTATGTTTCATTTTCACTGGAAGTGCTCACAGGCATAAAATTAAGCATGTGTAACTTAACTTTGGGTCTTTAGTCTGCTATTCACAATTGGATAGAACTCTATTATGCACTGAGTGTCCTGGTGCTTCAGTTTGCTATAAGCAGGCACGTGGAACTGAGAGAGTATGGCGTAAGTTTTCAATGGGAGAAAGAACTGCAGAAACTTGAAAATAAGTTTGTAAAGAACCTGCTTTCCTGGAAATTGCCACGAGGAAGAATTCTGAGTACCCTTTCTTTCAGTTCTCCCCCCACCTTGATTCAGTTTAAATACTATATAGTGTGATATGCTTTTAAAAAACTTAACGCCAAAGGAGTAAGGGAGTTTAATTTTAGTTTGAGTCCTTTTATATGCTATAAGTGTAGATGCCTATTGTCCCAAAAGCACTTCAGTGAAAGTTCTTGCAAGTAGTGATGAAGTCTGATACCAAAGTGAAGCTGTTTCTTGATATGTATGAAGTTTAATTAGAAAGTGTTTTTCTGTTTTGCTACTTGCTTTGTCAAGAAAAGATGTTCATATATAAATAATGATAGTTACTTTTTTTTTATTTTTCCCACAATATGATCAGGAATTTTACTGTTTTTTAAAAAGCTTATTTTTAGCAGCATTAAGATACTGTTCATCTATATGCTTTGCCTCTATGATTTTAAAATCATATTTTGATTAATATGAACAGGACACGTGGAATAATTGTGGAAATAACTTTCCAATGACATTGCATATTTCACACTATTTAAACTTGTATTTCTAAAGTGATGGGTAAAATCATTGTAGACATTACAGAGATTTTTTTCTTCTTCTTGAGCTCGTTTCTGTATTTTTTTTCTAAAGCAAATGTTAATCAAATATGCTCAGACTAATTAACATCTGCTCTGTTTTTGTGTCATTTTGTTTCAACTTAAGCAAGTACTGTATTAAGAATGTGGCTGATTGAACAGAAGAAATCTCCCCCTCAAGCAAGCATGGTGATTTAATGGAAAGAAATTGACAGAAGAATTAGAAATATAGTGGATGTGCTAGAGCTAAGTTTATGTACATTAAGAAGAAAAAAAGATTTCAAGTCATGCTTCTTACCCAGTGACTTTAATTTTGGATAAGTTGTAGGACTGTTGCTATTGAATGTTCTTTGTGAGCAGATTAGACGAATTAGGCTTTTTTATCTTTTACTGTTGTCAGGTGATGGGCAACTCTTATTTCCTTTTCTATTTGTCCAGTTATTTTTAGTAACACATTGTTCATTTGGTGCATGTTCTTTGATGCAACTTTATTAAAATGTTTTCCAGAGCAGGCAACAAGTTGGAGTCTGAGCAAACCTGCACTTTAGAAGCTCCACTTGGAAGTTTTGTCAGTTATTTTTTTTGAGCTGCTGCTGATGTTTGATTTCTGTAATCTTGGAAGTTTAGTAGTTTTCTACCAATATTAATGTGCTATTTGTCTAGATAGATAAAACTTTTTATCAGAACAAAGATAGAACTTCAGGTTGGTTGTCTTCCTCCATTCTAACGAGAAGCCTCTTACTGCTCTCTGCGGAATCTGACAGTGATCTCAGTCTAAGAAAGCACTTGAAGAAATATGTGGTTTTGCATGTGAGTCACCTTGTTGAAGGAAGTATGCATAGTTCATATGTCTGCAAGTGGCTTTTGGATTAGCTTAACTGTGAATGTGTCTTGTGTTTGCTTCATGAAGCTTGTATGCAAAATACTTCATGTCCTGTGTGCAAGGAAGTGTGTTTAGCTATTGCATTCAGCCTCTCCTGTAGTGGCAGCCTGTTGCCTCTGTGGCAAGGAAGGCACGGTGTTTTCCATACCTGCTGAAATACAGGCACGGCAGTCTGCTAGTGCTCAGGAGTTGTGCATTCGCTTGGAGAGTGCTGTGATCGCCCTGTGGTTTCTAATGACCAGTGTGGATAAAAGGAGATGTTTTCTGAAAGTAGGTTTCTTTTTTCCTTTTTCCTTTTTTTTAAATCAAGATTAGTAAAATTCTGGATTGTTCTGGACAATGTCAGCTGGGAAGACTGCCCTTTTTGAAAACAAATTCTGTTTCTTATCTTTCATATGTGATAAAGAAATTACTACAGAACCCTCCCTGAAGAGGCATATTTTTAAGCCTCAGTGAGCAGATTAACTTGTAATTTCAAAAAGTTTATTGCTGAAGCTTCTTCTAACTTTTTTTGTTTTTAATCAGAGCTGTATTGTTGAGAAATACGTGAAGTTTGCTGGTGTTGGTAACTTAGAATATACTTGTCTTCAAGATAGTGCAACTTAGGAGTTGCTTTCTATACAGAAGCTAATTAGGTATACTACTGAAATATGTATAGAAGAACAGCTAGTTAAGGGATCAGGTTTATTTTTAGCATAGAGTGACAGAACAGAGTATAAAGTAAAAATTACTAAACTTCTCTTGTAAGTTTCAAAGAAAGCTGGTATATTCCTGTCAAAGCAATGGTTAAAATATGATCTTGTCCTTTCTCGTAAATGAGATGTCACTAAATTGACAGTTTTATCCAGTGAACGTAGGCTGCTTCTAAATTTCTGAGGGTTTTTTGACTGTTTATGTTATTCTACCCGCTTATAAAGTTAGACTTTGAGCAGGAGTTTTTAGCAGGATTTTTGTAAACCCTGAAATATCACTTAATGGTGATACTTCATGGTATTACTGGATTACTTGTTTTCCTGTCCTTCCCCCACTGCCCGCCCCATACCATGTGTGACTGGTGTTTCTTCCTAACAAGGTCAGATGATTTAAACTGAAATTTCTGGATCTTTTAATGATATTTTTATTCTTACCATTTCACTTCCTATGCTTTGCTGTAGAAAGCTTAATTTAAGCTTATGAAGTTCTTTTTATTTAGCATCTCACTTCAAATTTTGGTAGCCTTTCTGTCATACTCTGAAATTGTAAGGTGTGAGGTGAGGTCAGGCATGACAGAAGGTGTTGTAAAAGAAAGATAATTACCCTCTCCCCCCCCGCCCCCCCCCCATGTTCTTTATCATACCTTCTCATGATAGGTAGAAAACTGAAAGAATACTTCTTAAAGACTTTTGCAGTTCTACTCTGCATAGAAATGTTTTGAATGCTTTTAAAATAGTAATTATATTGAAAAGTAGCATTTCTTTTGAAAGATGCGAGGAATGTGAATGGTAGATACAAGGCGCATCAATTATATGGTTTAAATAGTTGTACCAGTATGAATGAAATGCATCAATATGACTGACATCTTGCTCAGCTGGATCATCCAAAGTTGTTGATAGTTGTTCCATGACTGGGTTTATGTGAGCATGAGGTAAGGCCGTTGAACATTGGGTCACTGGGCAGGCATCACCTCCAATACTTGGTTTGCTGAAGGCTATGT